CCACCAGAGCCAGTAGGAGGAAGTTCAGTGTCAGAAAATGGGGGAGGGGCTTTCACACCAGCACAGGCAAGGAGGGAAATGAAACGTAAAGAGCAAAGATGTATCACGAGGTTTCCATGCCTACTTTGTTGGCGCCAAAATCGAAGGAAGCCACTCCCCGAAACTGACTCAACAGGTCCGGATGCATGATTTTGAACTGCAGCTGTTCTTTGTATATATGTAATAAAGACTGTAAATATCACACGGCGTGTGCTGGAGTTTTACTGCAAAGAGGGAACACCACCTTTACACCTATCTGCTTTTTGGATGATTACAGTGGTATCTCAGGTTACAAACGCTTCAGGTTACAGACTCCACTAACCCAGAAATAGTACCTCGGGTTAAGAACTTTGCTTCAGGATGAGAACAGAAATCGTGCTCCAGCGGTGCAGCAGCAGTGGGAGACCCCATTAGCTAAAGTGGTGCTTCAGGTTAAGAACAGTTTCAGGTTAAGAACGGACCTCCAGAACAAATTAAGTTCTTAACCCAAGGTACCACTGTACTTCTTTACCAATGAGTAAAAATACAAAGGAGAGTCAAACTTTCCCCTTAAAACACCAGTAGGGGGAGCCATTTTGTCTATAACAAGATCGCTGTTATAGCAATGCATGAAAAGAGGAAGGGTGGGCTGGGAGATCCAGTGAGGAGGTGAACAGGAGGGTGTCCCCGAGCCACACCATCGTTTAAACAGCCTACGGCCATGCCCCCGGTTGTGCTGATTGGACAACCAGGGGCCTGACACAGCCGGGAGTCAGAATGATCCAGGCGGCATCCCTCCGCCCCACGGCCAGGTCACTAAAGGTCCTGGATGCCTGGCCGCAACACCGCCCACTGCAGAAGGTGAGCGGACCAATGAGATGTTTGTAGAAGAATGGAAACCATTTTCAGATTCCTTAAGAAAATACTTTGATTCTTGTCCAGTATGAGATGGATTTATATCTTGGGTAACAGAACAACAAGAATATGTTATTTTTAGGCCTATTTTTTATACTTTGTGTAATGTTAGAAACGAATGGACAGTACAGAGAATGGAGATATAACGTCTTATTGAGTGATATGGGAAGTCACAGGAAAAAACCAGAAAAATAAGAATGGTTAACATATGGTGTTCTTAAAATGTATTATGTGAAAACCTAATGAAAAAAATGAAAATGAAACTTTTAGTAAAGCATATTGAATTCTAGTTTAATTTTGCCTGAGACCTTGTTATTCATCCTGTGCCAAATTGCACTAGCAACCAAACCAGTGCCTACAGTTGGCTGTGCCACTCCAGAAGCTACAGAAGTTAAAGGCAGTTGAGCGGAGCCAGTCTGGCAATAAATACATTCACTTTTTGTTCAGGAAAGTACCCAAGTATGATGAGAATCCAGCAATAAGGACCCAGATTGTTTGTCCACTGACACTCTCAAGGTGCCTTTTACGACATCAAAGTGAGGATGTTTCACCCCTCCCATTGCAAGAATCTGCTGACAATGTTTCAGAAAGGAGGGGGTGGATTTAGCTCATTGCTGCTTCCGCTCCAGCCTGACTTCAAAGGGAGTCTGAGTGTTATCTGTGTATAGATAACGTCGCTGCTCAAGCAGCTGTAACACTCATGCAGTCCAGTGTCTCTGATTAGTCTTTAGTTAGTTTGTGCAGTAGCTGTAGAAAATAAAGAAGTCATACTTCAGAGCTGTCGTTCGTGTGGTTCATGCTCTGCTGTGCTCCGCTGACTTTTGGAACTGAGTTTGGTGCTCACAGCTCTAAGTTGTGAGTCCACAGCACTTAGACCTGCTCCCTGCAGTGGAAGGTCTCTGGGAGTGGTTTCCCAGCTCGCCTGGCCCAGTCGGGGCTGAAGAGGTTGAGCCCAGTCGTTGGCACTGGCTCAAAGGCGAAGCTGACTCAAAGAAGCCCATCAAGAAATTGCACTGTGTTAATCACCAATCCAACCATGTCCTTTAAATATACTGAATCATTTAAGAAATGGATGTAAATGGGTGGATGATGGGAGCTGCAGTTCAGCAAGACCTGGAGCACATTGTGTTCACTATTACTGATGGGACCACCCATCAGTAGGGAGTGCACTGCCAGAGAGGTTCCCATGCATACCAGATTGCCTCAGACAATAAAAATGTATTGTTTCTAAAGTGGCTAGGTGTCATGGTTTACTTCATTTCCCAGGGTCCCTACATGCTGGAACAGTTCCAGCTCTGTTCCCAAGATCCAGTTAGTGGGGTGGTAAAAGTGTCCCAACAAAGTTACTATACATACATGAGAGAGTACAGGAGCCCCAGTAGTAGCAAATTAGCAAACTGGGGGAAGGCTAGGGCTGGCTCAACTCTAAAAATACTGTATTTTGATAGAGGGTTTTTAGGGAAATGGCTGATGCCTGTCTATCAATGGTTTCATAACTATGGGTGTATTGTATCAGCAAGAAGGTTGGACTAGATGACTTTGGAGAACCATTCCTAATCTATAACTCACTGAGGTGATAAATATGTTTACTTGGCAGTTCTGGATGCACCATGGAGTCCTTTAAAAATTGCAAAAGTGATGGTCTCCCCTGTAATTATTAAAATTACAATAATTTATTCACTTAGCCAAAGCTCTGAAAGGCAGAATGCGGGGTGGGGGAAGAATCAACAAGAAAGTCCGAAATATTTACAGTATCCCAGTCTTCCATAGGCAGTTAGAATAATGCAGGTTACAGAGGCCAGGCTCTGTGACTATATAGGTCAAGTTTTAAACCACTGTCATCTTATTTACCATTCAAGGCAGGTCTTTGTGAACAGGGTTGAAATTACTGATAAGGTGCATACATGTCTCTTTAAGCACTGAACTGGCAGAGTCTGCTGCCTCCAAATCCATCCTGTTCAAATCAGGCTGATGGTAATAATGATATTGTAGAGAGGCAAAGAAGAGTCCATGTGTAGAACCTTGCTGCTGCTGCTTCTCTTGCTCTTCCCCAACATGGTGTGTCGAGTGCATAGTGCTCATTTTACCACAACTAATCCTGTACCTATTCCACATGAGTGGTATGAGCCAGGTGACCCTGTCATTGGTGGGATTGCATCTCTTATCCGCTACATCCTCCCCAATGTTTTATTTAATATACACCCCTCTGAAGTCTTGATTGACAGACCAATGTAAGTAAACAGCCCTTTATATTATTTCATTCATGCTTTACATTCTAATATTTGACTGAAATATACTTTGCTTTGAATGAGTAGTTTTAGAACTGCATTGATTTGACAGCCTTGTATTGACTTGAAATATTTGAGAAACATCTGTGCATACAAGTCACGTCTGCACTCTCACTTGGACATTAGGAATCCTTAAGATTTAGTGATTCAATTCTGCAAAGAGAGAATTGAGTAAGAGAAGGAGAAGGTGGGTGGCATAAAAACCAAAGAAGTGAAGCAGTCAAGTTTGTTGATGTGACCAAATTGTTCAGATTGGTTATAACAAAAATGGATTGCGAAGAGCTCCAAATGTATCTTTCCAAACTGGATGTATGAGCAGTAAAATGACAACTGAAATTCAATGAGTGAAGTGATTTGAACTTGGGCCAAAAAAAAGTAAGTCTTAATTTCACTTATAAATCTATGGCATTTGAATTGGTGCTGATTGACCAGGAATGAGCTCCTGGGATAGCTCATTCATGCATCATTACTGATGCCAGAGAAATGGTAACTTGGCCAGATGACAGATACCCATTCACCACTCATAAAAGCTCTGCCACCATGTAAGCATTCTTCACCACCACCACCGCCATGTGGTTGGTGTGCTAATGTTACCTCACACGTTTGATTGACCTGTTTCAGACAGACATTTACACCACCTGCATTCTAGTTGCATAGCAGACTAACACTAGGGAAATACAGCTTCCAATCTCCATTCTCTGGGTTAACTCCAGCCAAGGGAATGTTGTGAGGATTCAAGGGAAGCAAAGAGAACAGAGAAAGCCAGCCTATGTTTCATTGCTGAAAGGTGGTAAAAAATGTGAAAAATAAACTGGTCATGTCTATTGCTCATAGGAAAGAATATAGTCCTTATAGTTTTTCTATATCCCAAAGTCTGAAAGCTGTATCTCCAGATCTAGATTTTGTGCACTATTTTATTTTCCCATGAAATAATGCCACTTTATGCGCAGCGTGTTATCAAAGTTCTTCCAGCACATCCTTGCCCTGGTGTTTGCGATTGATGAGATCAATGGGAATCCCAAGGTCTTGCCCAATGTCACGCTTCGGTTCCACATCTATGACAGCTACTATGATGCTAAGATGACCTACCGCACCACTCTGGATCTGCTGTTTAACTCATATGCTTTTGTCCCAAACTACAAATGTGGCTACCAGGAAAATGTAATAGGAGTCATTGGGGGACTTAGCTCTGAGGTCACCTCATGTATGGCAGACATCTTGGGTCTTTACAAAATTCCACAGGTGGGAATATTATGGTTATCAGAAAATTGAGATTTCACACCATAATTCACTCTCCAGCTCTCTTTCCAGCAGGAGTATATTGATTCATAAATTTGGAGTGGTATAACAGGGACAAGTGAAAGGGACTGAAATGTATGGGCTTGTTGATATTATAGCATGGGGTCTCCAACAATGTGCATGACAGGGGCAAGGGTACAAAGGGTGTGTGCTTAATGCATGTAAGGAAAGATTGATTCAAAGGTGCCAGGTTGGTAAATGGGATATCTAGATGGGATCATATAGTATCCTTGGAACATATTATCACTGGATCATGTAAGATCAGGACATGTTAACTAGGAATGCTTTCCATAAGAATTGGGAAATTCTTATTCTGGGGAACTATGCTGTTTCTGCAAAATGTTCACATTCAACGGCTAATTGAAAACCATGTTTTCTAGTTACTGTTCTGTCATTCGGCATTTGAGAGACACTTCTAGCAGTGCCAGTATTATATGGTGTTCTGTATTGTTTAATTTCATTTTAGTTCTTTTGTTTTTTGCTGGATGTGATTGATATGGTATTTTTGTATTTTACTGCTTTTTAATTTTGTGGTGCTGAAAGCAGCAAATTAAAAAAGAGTAAACGCTCTCCTATACTTGAAGTAAAGTAACATCTACATGTAGGAATCTGCTTTGATTCCGTAATAATGGGAATTAATATCTACAGGGCAGGGGAATGAGCAAGACTGTGTTTTTATTTTTTATGTAAGTGTGGGTAGGTGTTTTCCATAAAATCAGTATATTGGAGATCTATGGGATAAATAGGTTTGTTATGAATTCTTTCACTCAGAATGCTTGGACTTTTCCTTTTACAGACTTCGTATGGCTCATTTGAAGCAGCCACAAATAACCACATTAAGTTCCCTTCCTTTTACCACATGGTTCCTAATGAAGGACTTCAGTATCAGGGACTTATCCAATTACTTCTGCATTTTGGATGGAAATGGGTTGGGCTCATCACTCCAGCCAATGAAGCTGGAGAACGTTTCTTGAATACCATTGAACCAATGTTTTTCAAAAATGGGATCTGTTCAGCATTCACAGAAAGAGTTGAATACCATCTACGTTTCACTGGTAACATACTTGATATGGTGCGTGACACAAGTTTTGTTTTCCCAGCTTTCATGAGAAGCGCAGCAAACACAGTTGTTGTATACGGAGAAAGTACATCTCTTATGTGGTTGTCATTTGCTCTAAACGTAATGAAGGTAGCTCAGCTCATACTTGCTCAGTCCAAAAGAACTTACCTGAAGGGAAAGTATGGATTACCACAGCTCAAATTGATTTCGTAATAAATATTTTCCAAGAAAAATTTGATGTTGATATACAAATGTTCCATGGTGCTATCTCCTTTGCAATTCATTCCAAGGAAATTCATGACTTCCGATACTTTCTGCAGAATGTAAATCCTTCCTTGGTAGATGGAAATGGTTTTATCACAGATTTCTGGGAACAAGCATTCGGTTGTTCATTTACAGACTCTACTAAGTCAATATACAAAGCTAAGCCTTGTACTGGAGAGGAAATGCTGGAGAGCCTTCCTGCGCCATTTTTTGAAATGAGCATGACCAGCCACAGCTACAGTATCTATAATGCTGTCTCTGCTTTGGCACATGCCTTACATAGGCACTTGGCTGGATCCAACAGCAGAAGAATGGAGGCTGCAGGCAGACGATCTCCTCAGAATCTAGAGCCTTGGAAGGTAGTGTTTGCTGTTGCAAAGAGTTTGGTTTACAAAGTGTTCACTATTGTGCCCTGCCTTGATATTTTATGTGAGTTGGTATTTACGGTAGTTATAAATAGTGGCTAAATAACAGCAGATATTTAAAGAGTTGGAATGAAGGCTGTTCCTATATTTCAAGTGGCATTTGATTAGACAATTGTTGAAGCTTTGGGGCTGGTAGTAACTGTGAAGTGGATAGTAACAGAAATCCAAACCAAATTTGGTGTGGCATAATTGTTTAAATACATTTGCTGGGATATAATGCCATAAGCTCAATCAATGTTTATTATGGCAAACAGCTAGCATATTAAATCAAAATTTATGGATAATTCTCTACATAAACAATAAAAATGATCAGTATGGGGTTTAACAAGCAATATAGTGGTTAAGTGTACTTGAAATACATGTCCAGTGGAATAAAACACCATAAGAGTTTAAAATAATAAAAGATTTAACTAAGAACTGTACCAGTTTATCACGATTTATGCAGCTGTGTAATCTTTTGCTTTCTTTTACTTATGGCTATTGCACAAATCTAGCTACATTTCTGGTGACATAAGAATTCTAGTTGGACAGGAGGTAATTTAAATAGTATTCCTCTATCCTCCCTGGCACTTTTTGTACAAGCAGGTTTATGAGGGATGCTCTGAAATCTGAATAAAATCTACAATGGAATAGAATATGGTTCACTGTTTCTGCTTGACCGCTCTTACGTGGACAGAGCTGCTTGCCGTGAAAAATCTTTCTATATCTGCCTTCCAATAGATCAGAAGGCAGACATGAATAGCTTGCATAAATGCCCTTCTAAATTTGAGGATAGCCAAATTTGTCAAATATTTGGGAAGTACCAGCACCAATCTGTTTGTCCTGAGCATGGGATATAAATCAGCTAGGGCTAAGTGATTTTGTAGTTTGATATCTCTGATTCTCTGTGAAATATTCATTTTTGCTTTATCGTTTACTTGGGTTAGGATATCGCTGATGGAAAAACCCAAATTTAATAATTTAACTGTTTTTTTCCACTTGGAGTAAAAAGAATCGGTCAATGTGAGAGGAGCTAGTCCCACAGGCGCATACATCACTTTCAACCAAAAGTGGAACCTACACAGTCATATTCAAGTTTCTATTGAAATTGGGTCTGCTTTCAGTCATATTATTGCTCTTCTTCTTTGGCGATCACTCTTAGCTGAGTAAGATTGCCTTCCATAAACATGGTTTTAACACCGAGTCCGTAAGTGACTGTGGAGGCCAATTCTGGATCCACACGTCCTTCCACGGTGGGGATATTGGTTTCTGGGCGGGAAGTAATCATGGTGTGTATTTGCCAAGTATGCCTTCCTCTTGGCACGTTTCTCCCTTGCATCCTGAGTTCGAGTGTCTTCAAAGCCCATGACACCTTTGGTAAAGGTTGTTCTCCAATTGAAGCGCTTGCAGGCCAGTGTTTCACAGTTGTCAGTGTTTATACAACGTTTTTAAAGATTTGCCTTGAGAGAGTTTTTAAACCTCTTTTGTTGACCACCAGCATTTTGCTTTCCATTTTTAAATTCAGAATAGAGTAGTTGCTTTGGAAGACGATGATCAGGCATCAACACAACATGACTAGTCCAACAAAGTTGATGTTGAAGAATCATTGCTTCAACACTGGTGATCTTTGCTTCTTCCAGTACACTGGCATTAGTTCGCTTGTCCTCCCAAGTGATGTGTAAAAATTTTCAGAGACACTGTTGATGGAATCTTTTGTGGAGTTGGAGACGGTGTTTATAAGTGGTCCACGTTTCACAAGCATACAGTAAGGTTGGTAGAACAATAGCTTTGTAAACAAGCATTTTGGTTTCCCTGAGAATGTCCTGGTCCTCAAACACTCTACACTTCAATTGGTAGAAAGCTGCACTTGCAAAGCTCAGACAATGTTGGATTTAGACATCAGTTTTGGCCCTTGTGGAGAGATAACTGCCCAGGTAGGAGAAGTGATTGACATTTTCCAATGTTACACCATTGAGTTGGATTTGTGGTGCTGCAGAGAGGTTGTTTTGTGCTTGTTGGTGCAGCACTTTGGTTTTTTTTTAAGTTGAGTGATAGGCTTCGTAAGCTTTATGCAAAGATATTTAGGATGGTTTGTAGGTCATCTTCTGAATGTGCACACATTACATTGTCATCAGCATACTGAAGCTCTATGATGGAAGTTACAGTAACCTTACTCTTTGCTTTCAGCCTGCTAAGATTAAAGATCTTTCCATCTGTTTTCATATGATTTCCATATGATTTCTACTCCGGAGGGGAGTGTCCCTTCAACAAGGTGTAGGATCATGGCAATGAAAATAATGAATACAGTTGGGGCGATAACACAACCATGTTTAACACATGATCCCACTGTGAATGGTTCACTTTGAGAGCCATTGTTATCTGTGATTGTTGCTGTCATATTATCATGGAAAAGCTAAATGATGTTCACAAATTTATCTGGGCAGCCAGTTTTCAGAAGGACAGTCCACAGGGCATTACAATTTACAGTGTTGAAGGCCTTAGGTCAATAAATGCCATATACAGGGGTTGGTTTTTCTTTCTGCATTTTACTTGAAGCTGTCAAGTGGTGAAAATCATTTCCACTGTCCCCAGAAGGTCTAAAACCATTTTGGGATTCAGGAAAAGTCGCCTCGGATATTGTTAAGAGACCTTAAGATCCTTTGCTAAGATCCTTGCAAGAATTTTGCCGGCTGCTGTTAATAAAGAGATGCCTCAATTTTTTCCACAATCTGTTCTGTCACCTTTTTTAAAGAGATTGATAATTTTGGCATCCCTAGCTCTACTCTCTATCTCCCATAATTTTTTTATGAGCTTGTGAAGTTGTTGTGCAAGTTCAATTCTGCCCACTTTGAAGACTTCGGCAGGTATCCCATCGTCTGCTGGCTTTGTTGTTTTTCATTTGGTTAATAGCTGCACACAACTCTACCAGATTTGGAGATACCGCAAGCTCATCTCTAATTTGTATTTGTGGAATTTGTGAGAGGACCTCAGCAGCTACGTGGGAGTTGTGGTTAAGGAGATGCTGGTAATGTTCTTTCCAGTACAGTGCAATAGCTTCTTTATCGTTTAGAAGTGTGGTATGGTCTGTTGAGTGTAGGGGGCATATGCCATGATTTATTGGCCCATAGATGGTCTTTGTAGCTTTAAAGAAACTCTGTGCATCATGAGTGTTGGCTAAGTGCTGGGTCTCTTGAGCTTTTTTTATCCACCAGGTGTTTTTTAGTTCTCTGGTTCTTCATTGAACCTCAGCCTTAGCATTGGCATAGGGTTTTTTTCTTACTGGCGCAGTTTCTGTCTCTTTGCCAGATCTGAAAGGCGTTCCTTTTCTTGTCAATCATGTGTTCAATCTCACTGTCACTCTCATCAAACCAATCCTGGTGTTTCTTGGTTTGGTATCCAATAGTTTGTTCACAGCCTGCAATAATGGATGATTTTAGCTTGGCCCAGAGTTCCTCGATGTTATCAGGGAGCTCCAAAAGCAGATGGTCCTTAAGAGTCACTTGGAAGCAATACCGTCTTAATAGGATCTTGAAGGACTTGAGTGTCCTTTTTGTGCCTTGGTTTCCTTCCTTGAAGCCTGCCTATCCTTGATAGCCATTGTGGAGTGTATTAATCAGTGATCTGTCCAGCAGTCATCGGCATTCGTCATAGCTCTGGTAAGGAGCACATCGCATTGATCTTCAGGTTGGACAATTACCGGTACATAGTCAAAGAAGTGCCAGTGGCTTAACCGAGGGTGTCTCCAATATGTTTTAGATTTATTTTTTTGTCGGAAGAGTGTGTTGGTAATAACAAGGTTGTGCCCTGCACATATCATCAAAAGTAAGATTCCATTCTGGTTGCTGTTGCCAATTTCTTCTTCCCCAATAGTCCCAGGCCACATATTGAAATCTCACCCAACTCTTGCATTATAATCACCCAGGAGGATAACCTTATCCTCCTTAGGCGTCTCCGATAGGATGGTATCCAGCTGAGAGTAAAAATTTTCTTTAATGTCTTCATGAGCATCCAGTGTTGATGCATAAGTGCTTAGAATAATAGCCTGTTGGCTTTTGGTGAGCTTTATTTGAAGGGTTGAGAGTCGTTCATTAATGCTGGTAGGGACTTCTGACAAGAGCTTCACAAGATCATTTTTGATAGCAAAGCCTACTCCATGTATTTGACGTTCTTGCTCAGGTAGACCTTTCCAGAAGAATGTGTTTCCTCCTTTTCTTCCTTCAGTCGACTCTCACCTGCTCTTCGAGTTTCTTGAAGTGCTGCAATATCGATGTAAAAATGTCGCAGCTCTCTTGCAATGATGCAGTTCCGCATTCGGGACATTCATTATCTGTGTTATCTGACAAAGTCTGTATATTTCATGTTCCAAAGTTCAATTGACTTTTTTGACAGTTGGGTGGTGACCCCACTGGGCACGGTAATTCACTCAGGGAAAAAGGGAGGCAGACTATGTTTAGGACACCTTTTCTAGCCCCTTTTTGGGGTGAGCAGAGTGGATCCTAAATAGGGCTGCTCAGTCATGGATACAGCTGCCGAGCTGCTCAACTGCCTCATTCCTTGAGTCAGAACGACTGAATCTGTATCCACCACCCATGTGCCAGTTCATGACTAGGGGCTTCCAGATTTCACGGTCCTGCCCCCATTACCATTTGCCAATTGCCATGGGACTTTTGGGGTTTGGGATGGGTTTTTGGAAGGTGCCTGTGTGTGAATTTGTTTTATGTGTGTAGATCAGTGCAGGCTGACCAATCCACAGTCTTCACAGGAATGCTTTATTCCAATGGCATGATTATCACGATGACTGGTAGATTCTTATCTCCTGCAGCCTTCATCCGCCTTCACAGCCATTGTAACATACCGCTTGTTATCATCCAGCTGTTCTGCCACTGAGGACTTCTTGGTTCATTCTTTGTTTAGCTCTTCCCCTTTGACCTTACCAGCTTGGGTGACCCTACTGGGAGTCCCGGCAGCTTTGTTCACAAGGGTCACAGGAATGTGCAGGCCCACTCACCAAGACAAAGTGATGATCAAGCGAGTGAAAAATTACTCGCATTATTGCATTTGGTACACAACTAGGTACCATAAGCTAAAGAGAAAGAAAATTAAATTCAAGCACATTCTCCACTTGGCCACTTTGTGATGTTAACATAAGAAAGGAAATAGGCAATTCCATTCCCTTTTTGAATTCCTTAAGCGCTTTCAAGCTCACCCAACCAAACTTTGCAAACTTTTCACCAGCTTTCTCTGCACTGCCACAACCAGCAATAGCAGCAAGAAAAAAATACACTTTTGTTCTTCAGAGGAGAAGGGAGCCATTGGGGAAATGGGGCAGTGGAGCAGTTTGACATTGCACTAGATAAAGCTAATTATCCATGATACCAATTTTGAAAAAATATGTTTCAGGTCACAATGTACCTCAAAAAAAACACAAAGGGTAGAGGCAGCACCCAAGAATAACAAACTGCAACTTCTCAATTAACTGGTACTGAGGTTAAATATTGTCATTCAGAGTGATTGTTCAAAATCTCTGAAAATTTGTTTCTAAAATGTCCTGTTATCCAGGTGAATAAGGCGATCCTGTTCATGCTCATTTTAACAATTTATCACCAGACTTAACACTTCCAATGGATTCTTCTGACCAAAGTTCTTTTATCTGCTTTTGAGTGTATTCAAGTGATAGATTAGAATAGCAATGGTTTGCCAAAAATGAGACAGCAGTCATTTGATTTAGCAGGAAGTGAAATACCTGCTTACAAAGAATTTCCTTCAACATATCCTACCTGATTTCTGTAATGGAGACTTTTCTATGGCCTCCTCAAATCTAAAAGAAGATGCTCCTTAAGCAGAACATAAATCATTGGGAGGTTTTGTCATAACATTAACTTTTTAAACTCCTCAGTTGTCATGTCCACTCCAGATATGATCCTTAGACCATCTTCCTCCTAGAGGTGAGATATTGGTCTGGAGAAGCAATTGCAAATATTTTATTATGTCCCTGAACGGTCCCAATTATGCAAGAACATATCATCACACAATACTGATTAAAAGGTGAAATGGAAAAGGGGCATAAAAGAAGTCTTTTAACATGACAGCATGTAACTTTTCCTCCATATGTGGTGTGTGTGGTATAAATTCCTTCATTTGCAGAAAACAAGAATGGATCTGCCAATTCTACACTGTCACAAATTATACTTTGAATCAAAACTTTATAACCCCTAGTTATAAAGAGCTTGAATGCATCTAGGAAAGCTATTCAGCAATCTTAATCAGAATGTTATAATACTTTATAGACCTTTTGATTCTCTTTCCACCTAGCTCCACTCATTCCTACAGAAGATCTCATTCAACAACTCTGTTGGTGATGAAATTACATTAAATGAATGTGGAGAATTAGCAGCTGGTTTTGATATTACAAATTTGATCACTTTCCCAAATAGATCCTACATCAGGGTCAAAGTGGGAAGACTGGATCCTCAGGCCCCTCCAGGGAAAGAGCTCACCATTAATGATGGACAGATTAAGTGGCACAGGGGCTTGACTCAGGTGAGGAAATTAATTTCTCAAATACCAACATTCATGTTATCAATCAAGTAACCTTTATTGGCATCACATAGGAACATACATAAAATGGGATGCAATGAAAACAAGGAGGCGTTTTTTCACTTAGCACCTGATTAAATGTGAAGTTTGCTGGGAGAGAAAAGTAGACTTTAAGAAGAGGAAATTAATATGTAGATGGATAGTATTTTAATGGAGAGAATCTCTATTTGAACCATTAACTTTGCTTGTGGGAAAATGCTTGCACATTAGTTTAAGAGACCCTATTTGCTGTCCAGCTTATGTTGACTGCATTCTGCTTGGTATGTGATATTATATTGTATACGATTTAGAAATTCCATTTTTGTTTATTGCATATTTGTAAGCCACCAAGGAATAAGCAATATACTTTAAGGAATACTGTAAGGTCTATCATTAAATAAATAAATGAACCACAATAAAAAAAGAGCAACATGCTCAGAAGACATCTAACATTGAGAAGGACCAATGGATTCTCGAGATTGGCTCCTGAGCATCAAAGAATATGAAGAAAACCTGCAGAAGAGACTTGGAAGAGATTTAAGAGCCTCAGATATAAGATTACCAGGTTGATGGACTATATGGAACTGACGGAAAGGACTGGCAGAATCCGAAGCCAGGGAGAGGGAGATAGTGGAAGATTACTGGAAAATTTAAAGTGTTTATTTAGAAATATTGTTAAAGTAATGACTGTTAGAAAAATGGTGGAATGATATTTTATGGATTTAGCAGAAATGCTATAAGAAGTTGGGTGTATATAAGTAATTTACCTTTAATGGGAAATAAGGTTAAAGAATATGTTATTTATAATATGACAGAAAATAGAGAAAGATGGAAAGGATTTGCTGAAACAAGTACTAGAAGTGGGATACAAAAAGGGAGGTGTGAGGAAGTTGAGGAAACAAGGGAATGAAGGACAGAGTATGGAAAAGGAGGGATGTTTTTAAATTGTTTTTGTTTTGCTTTGTTTATGTGTTTAATTTAATGGGTTTAGGGTGGGTTTGTATGGTTTATATATTGTATTGTTTTTGTTTTTCTTTTTTCTTGTCTTTTTTTGTCTTTTCTCTTTTTCTTCTACTTTTTTGTAACTTTTAAAAGTAATAAATATTATTTTTTTTTAAAAAAGAGAAGGACCAATGGATATCAGAAAGTGTTGTCAGCCATTCTTGTGTGTGAAATACGTGAGGCAGATCTCCAGTTAGTGGCATCAGATAGAATGCTAAGCTTGTTACAGCATTCCTTGGGCTTAAAATGAACATTATAATCCTCTTGAGTTTGTATGATGCTATGCAGCTGCTTCTTATCCCATTGTATGTGCCACCTGTGCAAATATGGACCATATGTTTCATGCTATTGGTCCTTCTATTCCTTATATATCACCTGGTGTTAGGTTAATACCGCCCAACCATTTTTTAAAAAAATTCTTCCAATATTTTTGGATAGGTGCCACCCCTGTCAGTATGTAATGACAACTGCCGTCCTGGTTACGGGAAGAAAAAGAAGGAGAGAAGTAAATTTTGTTGCTATGATTGTGAAGCATGTCCCAGCGGGATGTACTCAAATGAAAGGGGTGAGAAATGTTATGTTACGATAGACCAAACTGCACAATTTGTTTAGTCAACTCTGAGGTCCTTAAAATTTTGTTGTCGTTAAAATTCTGGTGTGGGGGAGGATTAAATAATGCATTTTTAAATTGTTCTTATTGTTTGCAATACAATCTTTAAAACATCCTGAAAAAAAAATATTTAGAAAGGAAGGTAATACATTTTACATCCAAATTCTACTAAATTGCGATGGAATCGAAGTGATGGTCACTCCTCTAAGAAGAAGGCAGTTTGGGGAGAGAATGAATGTCTCATTCATTGCGCTTCTCACGGTTCAGAAGATGTTAGCTGTAATATTGCTCTCTTTTCACTACAGAGCAGCTTGTGATTCCCAAAAAGATGAGGAGGACCACTAAAACATAGAGATGTCCGCTATGTAGAAATCCCAGATTTGATGCATGAGATCTATTTTTGAAATATCTCAAACAAAAGTCTTTGAACTAGAAGTTTTGAAAGCTACCCTGGTAAAGAACATTAACTAGTTGAACTCCTGGTGACAAAAATTCTTAAGAATTTTCTTCGTAATTTCATTTTGTCTTTTCAGACATGGAAACATGTTTCAGTTGCCCAGCAAATAAGTATCCAAACCAAGACCAGGATAATTGCATTCCTAAAATACCAAACTTTCTTGGCTTCGATGAAACTTTGGCCATCATTTCAACTTTCTCGGCACTACTGTTGTCTCTGATCACAGTTCTAGTGTTTGGCATCTTCATTAAACACCAGGACACTGCCATCGTCAAAGCCAACAACAGAAGCCTCACTTACATTCTCCTTGTGTCCCTCCTCTTGTGTTTCCTCTGCTCCTTGATGTTCATTGGAACACCTAAGCAGGCAACCTGCCCACTCCGACAAACAAGTTTTGGCATTGTCTTCTCTGTGGCCCTCTCCAGCATCTTGGCCAAAACTATATCGGTGGTTTTGGCATTCATGGCTACCAAGCCAGATTCCACAATCAGGAAGTGGGTAGGCAAAAAACTGGCTTATTCCATAATCCTCTCCGGCTCCATTCTTCAAGTAGGGCTTTGTGGTCTTTGGCTGGCAACTTTTCCCCCTTTTCCAGATTTGGACATGCACTCAATGAGTAAAGAAATTATATTGTTATGTAATGAAGGGTCAGTCTTCATGTTCTTCTGTGTTTTGGGCTACATGGGCTTCCTGGCCACTGTCAGCTTCACTGTGGCTTTCCTAGCCAGGAAGTTGCCAGACAGTTTCAACGAAGCCAAGTTCATTACTTTCAGCATGCTGGTCTTTTGCAGTGTTTGGCTCTCCTTCATTCCAACCTACCTGAGCACCAGAGGAAAATACATGGTGGCTGTGGAGATCTTCTCCATCTTGGCTTCTAGTGCTGGATTACTGGCTTGCATCTTTTTCCCCAAATGCTACATTATTGTAGTGAGGCCTGAGTTGAACACCAGAGAGCATTTAATACAAAAAAGATATAAATAATATAAGAATTTATGCTTCCATGATTGTTCTTAGTTTTCAACACTGAAACGTCAAAAATGTTAATGGATGAGGACAATGTGACCAAATAAAAATATTTCAGCTTTTTTGTGCTCTGTTTGTTGCAGGTTATTGTAAGAGGCCAATCTGATCAAATGAGGCAAATGTTCACCTCAGCTTCTGAGCTTCAGTAAAAGTCAGTAAAATTCTGAAAGAGAAACATCAACATTACTCTGTAGCTATTCTGATTAAACAGCTAATATGAATGAAGAATAGAGAGTATTAGTATTAGAGTTGTTGGGTTTTTTTGACTAAGTGATATATGAATTATTTAAGAATCTAAATAAAAATCTATGTTATATTTGTGAGGCCTGTGTCAGGGAACTGCCATCGGACGGAAGGGAGGTGAAAGGGCTCACACAGGTTGGGAGAGACGCAGCAGCTGAAGAGGAAACCAACAGGGAGGTGAGAGGGCTCACACAGGCTGGGAGAGACGCAGCAGCTGATGAGGGAACCAGCAGGGGGAGAGGAGCTGAGCTGGAGGGATGGCTCAGAGACACTTCCAGCGAAAACAGTGGAGAGGTTTCAGGACCTCCTGTAAGAACACCCACTCCTCGCCGGAAACTGTCACGCAGAGATTCCAGAAGACGTGTTTCCGTTAAGGAGCTTTTATGTTGGAAGCGATTACGCAAGCAACCACTGTCGGAATCTGCTAGTGACTAGAGTAGACATGTCTGAGGGGCTCTGTCACAGACAGAGGTTTGTGGACTTGAACAAACTCTGAGGGGATACGATTTTACGCACAAGCAGCTCATCATCCCATCACAGCATTCCGACAGTCTTTGAAAGCAGCTTGTGCAGGAGAAGGTATCATGAGCAACCCAGCCGGAACCGGAGAAGCAGGAGCTGGAGCGGGTCCAAGCCTGGAAGAAAGGTACCAGATGTTGGAGGTCCAGCTAGCGATGCAGACGGCGAGGCTTGAGGAGAGGAGGGCTCAGGATGCAGACAAAAGGGGAGGGTACTCAAGCAGTTGCACGACAGCCCTACGGCGGGGCATTTTGGACAACACAAAACCATGTGGTTGGTCACCAGGGAATTTTGGTGGCCTAAGGTGAGGGAAGATGTACGTGAGTATGTAAGAGGGTGCGAGCAATGCCAGCGAGCCAAAGGGGAAAGGCGGGCGCCGGCGGGGCTATTAGAACCCTTACCAGCCCCAGAACGACCTTGGGAGGCAGTGTCGATAGATTTTATGACTGATCTGCCAAAGTCCAAAGGGAAAACAGCCATCATGGTGGTGGTAGACCTACTAACAAAGATGTGCCACTTTGTAGCTTGCTCGCATGCAGTCACGGCGGAAGAGACAGCGAAGTTATTTGTAGAAAACATTTTTAGGTTGCACGGGGTGCCATTGAGGGTGGTCTCAGACCGAGGAAAACAATTTACTTCCAGGTTCTGGAGGAAGCTCATGAGCTTACTGCAGGTGGAGGTCAATTCTTCGACTGCCCGGCACCCTGAAACCAACGGGCAGGCGGAAAGAGCAAGCGGTGTCCTCCAGCAATACCTGAGGTGTTATGTCAATGACAGAGAGAATGACTGGGTAGAAAAGTTGGCGCTGGCGGAATTTGCCTACAACAATGCCGAGAATGTGTCCACAGGGATGAGCCCCTTCTTGGCTAATTATGGGTGTCATCCCAGGGCTTTCCCAGGGGGAGATGGAGCGTCCCGGCAGCCGAGCATTTTGTGGAAGAAATGGAAGCAATCCATCGTCAGCTCCAACTCAACTTAGAAAGGGCGAAGGAAGAATACAAGAGGCAGGCAGACAAGAACCGAAGGGAAGGTGAAACCATAAGGGTGGGAGATAGGGTGTGGCTGTCAACCCAAGGGTTGCCGTTCAAAGGAGGTTGTAAGAAATTAAGACCCAGGAGGTTGGGTCCCTTTGAGGTCATTCAACAGGTCAACCCAGTGGCTTTCAGGCTCCGGTTACCCAACCACATGAAACTGCACCCAGTATTTCACAGGTCGTTACTGTCACCGTACGAAGGGGACGAGAAGGGCTGGCCCCTCGGGGACCGGTCGTAGAAGAAAGAGAATGCAGTAGCCATGTGGCAGAAATCCTCGACGCCAGGTGGAAGGGGGATCAGGTGGAGTATTTGGTAGCGTGGGAAGGAGAACCGGAGTCAGAAAACACTTGGGTAATGGCTGAAGATATCAATGACGAGGTATTGATAGAAACGTTCCATCAAAGGTTCCCAAGGAAACCTCAGCCTGTGGAGAGGTTCCGGAGGGAATACTTTAGGACCACTGATGAAGGGGAGGAGTTGGAAGGATTCCCGGACTCGGAAGGGGAAGGGGAGATGGACTCTGAGGAGGAGGTGTACTTCGAGACCAGGAACCGCAACAGGTTGAGAGAAGTGTTCGAGACATCGGAAGATGAAGGAAGTTCATTCCGGGTTTTGCCTCCTCACCGCCCGTAGAGGAGGGGGCGAGAGGGGGTGAAGGGGGCCCTGGAGGGGAGGTGGATGTCAGGGAACTGCCATCGGACGGAAGGGAGGTGAAAGGGCTCACACAGGTTGGGAGAGACGCAGCAGCTGAAGAGGAAACCAACAGGGAGGTGAGAGGGCTCACACAGGCTGGGAGAGACGCAGCAGCTGATGAGGGAACCAGCAGGGGAGAGGAGCTGAGCTGGAGGGATGGCTCAGAGACACTTCCAGCGAAAACAGTGGAGAGGTTTCAGGACCTCCTGTAAGAACACCCACTCCTCGCCGGAAACTGTCACGCAGAGATTCCAGAAGACGTGTTTCCGTTAAGGAGCTTTTATGTTGGAAGCGATTACGCAAGCAACCACTGTCGGAATCTGCTAGTGACTAGAGTAGACATGTCTGAGGTGCTCTGTCACAGACAGAGGTTTGTGGACTTGAACAAACTCTGAGGGGATACGATTTTACGCACAAGCAGCTCATCATCCCATCACAGCCTGAATCCAACAATAGAGAGTAACTGACAGAGAGAAATATGTAAATGAGAGATGTGTTTGTAGTTTAACATATGTTCTTGGTATCAATCTAGGAACATGAGGTCTTAAAAGTGTAAATTGGAATCCCCATGTGTGTCCACAACCTACCTAACTCCTAAAACACACTCCCTTGTGAGATCTTTTGCTGGAGTCAACTGGGCACAGCTCAGAGAATAGGCCCAAATTACCTTATGCCCAGAAATGACCTCTCACAAACTGGACTGTTCCCCACAGTTTTGGTTTATGACTGAAAATGCTGAGTTGCAGTGATGGTGATAATGAAATATATTAGCAGTGGAAACATCACTAAATGCAGATTTCAGAACCTGAGATTTTGTCCGAACCTATGCAGAGAGTATTCCTCAGTCAACTATATATACCTAAATGTGGGATGAGTAGAATAGCTGGTCATGTTGGGTGTCCAAAACTTCCTTAAGGTAGGAAATCCATTCAGGAGGACTTTCTTTAAGATAACCTTCTTTGACTGCACTTTGTCATGTACACAGTCATTTAATTATTAAGGCCCCTGTCACACAGCAACTTGCTAGAGAGGGTTGGAAAAGAAATAGGAAAAGGGGTGATTACCCAGGATACACTGCAGGTTAGGCCAACTTCTTAAAAGGTAAAGGGACCCTGACCATTAGCTCCAGTCGTGACCGACTCTGGGGTTGCGGCACTCACCTCGCTTTATTGGCTGAGGGAGCCGGCGTACAGCTTCCGGGTCATATGGCCAGCATAACTAAGCCACTTCTGGCGAACCAGAGCAGTGCACGGAAACGCCGTTTACCTTCCCGCCAGAGCACTACCTATTTATCTACTTGCACTTTGATGTGCTTTCGAACTGCTAGGTTGGCAGGAGCAGGGACCGAGCAACAGGAGCTCACCCTGTCACAGAGATTGGAACCACTGACCTTCTGATCGGCAAGTCCTAGGCTCAGTGGTTTAACCCACAGCGCCACCCGCATCCAACTTCTTATCCAGTTACAAACACAAAATGTAGGTCAAGCATAATAGACCTACATAATAGAGGTGTTAATGAATAGGGGCTGTGGGACGGAATGAAACTATGGATACTATGCAACATCAAATGACTGAAAGCCTGCTTCTGCTGTTCCTAAAGTCATGGTCTTGTGAAAGGCTCCTAGGGCTGAAGGGTGGGGCAAGGCAGGTGGGAAAAGCCATTGCCTGATAGCCAGCACAAAGTCTCCCCTCACCCCTCATTTCTCTTTCCTCTGCTTCTCCTGCACACCATCGGTACGCTCCTATGGGAAGCTGCAGAGGGAAGAGAAGGAAGGGAAGCTAGATTATACTGAACCAATTCACTACTGCATTTAGTTCCATATTGTCTACAATGATGGACAGCAGCTTTATAAGGTTTCAGACTGGGGTCTCTTCCAGCAATACCTGAAGATGTTAGGTATTGAATGTCAGACCCTCTGCACATGAACCATATGTGGTACCACTGTGTAATAGCTCTTTTTCTCTTTCTTCTCCACTCGTAGAAGTTTGTCCCATTTATAAATGGATGCAATTGGATATCAGCCCTTTTTCATCAGTTTTGCTTTTCTGTTTTGGATTGCATAGTGACTGCTTTTTCCTTGAATTTCATTTTGCCATATATATTTTTGGGTTGGTGAGGATTCACAGAAGGGTCAAGGGTTCAATTAAAGAATGATGGACCCAGGTGCATTTTTTAGGAGGAGCTTCGACTTTGGCTCTTCACACCTCACTGCCAGCCCTGCGCCAGTTTGCGAGGCTGGCATCTGATCTCAGTGATTTACCTAGCAAACTAGTAAAATCTTACTTTTCCTAATTGAGAATTGCCTGAGGCAACAAATGTTTACTTGACAGTTCTGCCAAAGATGATGCGCCATGGAGTCCGTAAAAAATTGCAAGTGATTGTCTCCCCTGCAATTATTAAAATGACAATAATTAAGTCATCTTGCCAATGCTCCAGAAGGCAAAATGTGAGGTGGGGGAGAATCAGCAAGCAAGTCTGAAATGTTTATAGTCTCCCAGTGTTCCATAGACAGTTAGAATAATGCAGGAGAGAGAGAGGCCAGGCTCTGTGATTGTATAGGCAAAATTTCAAATCACATCATCTTATTTACCATTCAAGGCAGGTATTTGCGACAGAGTTTAATGATAAGATGCATGCATGTCCCTTTAAGCACTAAATTGGCAGAATCAGCTGCCTCCAAATCCATGCTGTTCAAATCAGGCTGATGATGATAATGATGATGATATTGTAGAGAGGCAAAGAAGAGTCCATGTGTAGAACCTTGCTGCTGCTGCTTCTCTTGCTCTCGCCCAACATGGTGTGCCAAGTGCATAGTGCTAATTTTACCACAACTAATCCTGTACCTATTCCACATGAGTGGTATGAGCCAGGTGACCCTGTCATTGGTGGCATAGCGTCTCATATCCGCTACCTTTTCCCCACTGTTTTATTCAATAAACACCCCTCTGAAGTCTTGATTGACAGACCAATGTAAGTAAATAGTCCTTAATATTATTTTTTTCATTCTTTACATTTTTATATTTGACTGAAATATACTTTGCTTTGAATGAAAAGTTTTAGAACTGTATTGATTTGATGGATGATATAACAAATATCTGTGCATACAGGTTATGTCTACACTGTCAGTTAGACATTAGGAATCCTTAAGATTTAGTGATCCAATTCTGCAAAGAGAAAATTGAGTAAGAATAGAACAGGGCGGCATAAAAACCTAAGAAATAAAGCAGCCAAATTTGCTGACGTGACAAAAATTTTCAGAGCGCCTAAAACAAAAATGAATTGTGAAGAGCTCCAAACATATTTTGCCAAACTGGATGTATAGACAGTTAAATGATGAATGTAATTCAATCTGTAAAGTGATCTATGTTTTTTTTGGGGGGGGGGGGGAGTCCTTCATTCACTTATAAGTCTATGGTGTTTAAACTGGGGGTGATTGGCCACAAATGAGTTACTGGGACAGTAATGGATAGCTCATTGAAAATAATGAGTCAGTGTATAGAAACTGTAGAAATGACAAATTCCATTCTAGAAATCCTCACTTAAGCCTTAAGGGACTGAAACCAAAACCACCCAAATCATAATGCTATCATACTAATTATGGAATAGTGTGTACAGTCCTGGTAACCTCATCTAAACAGATATATTGTTCATCTGGGAAAGGTTCAGAAAAAGCAAAAATCTATGGTGCGACTACACTTGGAATACTGTGTTCCGGTCACCTCATCTAAAAAGGAATACTGTACACATCATAATGCTATTATACTAATTATGGAATATTCTGTACAGTTCTGGTCATCTCTGAGGCAGAGAGCAGCACAACAGTTCATCAATGCTGCTCCAACTGTTAAGACTGTTCAGTTAACTGCCATAACTGTCAACTGTCATAACTTCCACAACTTGTATGGCCTCACAGAGTTCTACAGCTCTTGAAATTAACCTTTTACATATGCATTTTGGATGCTAACATCCCACATTCTGAGGGGAAGAAGAAGCAGAGAGTACACTCGCTAGCTCACAAGTAGGCATACTTGGTAGAAATACATGTGAAACTCTCCATTGCTGTATCTTTATTCTCTTGAAAACCTGATGATTTGCATTGAAAATTGCAACTGCCGTCAGCTTTATTATCATTTAATGCAAGTTTGCATTTCCAGAGAAAGCTACAGCCAAAGGGCTATAGCAATAATTTCAAAAACTGTAGCATAGTCATATGACACAGCAGTTATTTCTAGATGAAGTGAAAGTCAAGAAAATTCCTGACCCATTCTGTATATTCACAATCTATGTCTTTGAGAAATAAAATAAAAAAAATTTGAGCTAAAGAGTCATTCAAATATTCTAACAGAACAAAACAAGACCCATCTTTCCTCTGAAAGTTCTCTCTCTCAGATGTAGATTTTGTACACTATTTACTTTCCCCACATAATAATGCGACTTTATTCACAGCGTGTTATCAAAGTTCTACCAGCACATCCTTGCCCTGGTGTTTGCAGTTGATGAGATCAATGAGAATCCCAAGGTCTTGCCCAATGTCACTCTTGGGTTCCACATCTATGACAGCTACTATCAATCTAAGATGACCTACCGCACCACTCTGGATCTGCTGTTTAACTCATATATCTTTGTCCCCAACTACAAATGTGGCTCCCAGGAAAATGTAATAGGAGTCATTGGGGGACTGAGCTCTGAGGTCACCTTATGCATGGCAGACATCTTGGGTCTTTACAAAATTCCACAGGTAGGAATATTCTGGGTAAGAGAAAATTGAGATTTCACACTATAATTCACTCTTCAGCTCTCTTTGCAGTAGGAGTCTATTAATTCATAAATATGGAGTGGCATAACAAGGACAATTGAAAGGGACTTAAATGTGTGGGTTTGTTGTTGTTATAGCATGGGGGTCTCTAACAATGTGCATGAGAGGGGTAGGTTACTAAGCATATGTGATCAATGCATATAATGCATATAAGGGAAGATTAATTCAAAGGTGCCAGGTTGGTAAATGGGATATCCAGATGGAATCATATAAGATCCTGGGGGGGAATTATCAGTGGATCATATAAGATCAGGACATGTTAACTAGAAATGCTCCCCATATGAAATAGGAAATTGAGCAAGATTGCTTGTGTATTTTTTATGTAAGAGGGAGTGGGTTCCCCACCCCACCCCCAAAAAAACAGTAAATTTGAAATGTGTGGGATAAATAGGTTTGTTATGAATACTTCCATCAATTCCTTATGGTTTTCTTTTTTCTTTTTCAGATTTCATATGGTTCATTTGAAGCAGCCACAAATGATCAAATTAAATTCCCTTCTTTTTACCACATGGCTCCTAATGAAGCTCTTCAGTATCAAGGAATTATCCAGTTGCTTCTGCATTTTGGATGGAAATGGGTTGGGCTCATCATTCCAGCTAATGAAGCTGGAGAACGTTTCTTGAATACCATTGAGCCAATGTTTTTCAAAAATGGGATCTGTTCAGCATTCACAGAAAGAGCTGAATACCATGTGCATGTCACTGGTAAGATAACTGATATGCTGAGAGAGACAAGGATTTTGTCCCCAGCTTTCATAACAAGCAAAGCAAATGCAGTTGTTGTATATGGAGAAAGTGCATCTATTACATGGTTGTCAACTGCTCTAAAGCTGATGAAGTTATCTGAGTTCATATTTTCCCAGTCTAAAAAGAACTTACGTGAAGGAAAAGTATGGATTACCACAGCTCAGATTGATTTCATTTTATATGAACTTCAGAAAGTTATTGATGTTAATATACAAATGTTGCATGGTGCTATCTCTTTTGCAATTCATTCCAAGGAAGTTCGTGACTTCCCAGATTTTCTGCAACATGTAAATCCTTCCTGGGAAGAGGGAGATGATTTTATCTCAGGTTTCTGGGAACAAACATTTGATTGTTCACTTGCACACTCCACAAAGTCAACAAAGATAGCTAAGCCTTGTACCGGAGAGGAAATGTTGGAGAGCCTTCCTGCGCCATTTTTTGAAATGAGCATGACCAGCCACAGCTACAGTATCTATAATGCTGTCTCTGCTTTGGCACATGCCTTACATAGGCACTTGGCTGGATCCAACAGCAGAAGAATGGAGGCTGCAGGCAGACGATCTCCTCAGAATATAGAGCCTTGGAAGGTAATGTTTGCAGTTACAAAAAGTTTGGTTTGCAAAGTGTTCACTATTGTGCCCTGCCTTGATATTTTATGTGAGTTGGTATTTAGTTATAAATAAAACAAATAAAAGGTATCCTGTTAAAGAAACCAACAATGAAGATTTCTACTGCACTGCAGGCTATGCTTCTTATAGCAGAACATAAATTAAAGAGGGGGTTTGTCATAATGTTAACTTAAAAAACAACAACCCTCAGTTGTCATCTCCCCTCTCCTAGAACACGTTCCTCTTAGAGTTAGAGTATCTGCATGGAGAAACAATTGCACATATTTTAATATGTGATTGATTGGTCCCAATTATCCAAGAACATATAATAACATAATACTGATTAAAAAGTGAGATGGAAAAAAGGCATAATAGACGTCTTTTAATATGACAATATGTAACCTTTCTTTCGAATGTATTCAAAAATTATCAATCTGACTGTGTCATGTATGGTATAAAATTCCTTCATTTGCAGAAAACAAGAATGGTCCTCCCAATTCTACACTTTCATAAACTATACTTTGAATTAAAACTTTATAACCCTTCGTTATAAAGATCTTGAATGCATCTAGGAAAGCTGTTCAGCAATCTTAATCAGAATGTTATAATACTTTATAGTCCTTTTGGTTCTCTTTCCACCTAGCTCCACTCATTCCTACAGAAGATCTCATTCAACAACTCTGTTGGTGATGAAATTACATTAAATGAACGTGGAGAATTAGCAGCTGGTTATGATATTACAAATTTGATCACTTTCCCAAATAGATCCTACATCAGGGTCAAAGTGGGAAGGCTGGATCCTCAGGCCCCTGCAGGCAAAGAGTTCACCATTAATGATGGACAAATTAAATGGCACAGGGACTTCACTCAGGTGAGGAAATAAATTTCTCAAATGCCAACATTCATGGTTATCCAAATAAAATGGGATGCAATGAAAACAAGGAGGCTTTTTTCACTTAGCACCTGATTAAATGTGATGTTTCCTCGGAGAGAAAAGTAGGGTTTATAGAGAGGAAATTCATATATAGATGGATAGTATTTTAATGGAGAGAATCTCTATTTGAACAATTGGCTTTACTTGTGGGAACACGCTAGCATGTTAGTTTAGATTTTAGAATGTTTTATCATTTTACTGTTGTTAGCCTCTCTGAGCCCGGCTTCAGCTGGGGCGGGCGGGATATAAATATTATTATTATTATTATTATTATTATTATTATTATTATTATTGAGATCCTCCTTGTTGCCCAGCTGATGTTAATCACAATTTGCTTTGTATGTGATATTATATTGTATATGATATGAAAATTGCCTTTCTATATATTGTTTATTTGTAAGCCACCAATGAGTAAGCAATGTCCTTTAAGGAACACTGTAAGGTCTAACACTAAATAAACATATGAGCCACAATACGAAAAAGAGCAACATGCACAGAAGACATCTCGCATTAAGGACCAATGGCTATCAGATACTGTTGTCAGACATTCTTTTATGTGACGTCCCAGAGGCAGATCTCCGGTTAGTGGAATCTGATATAATGCTAAGCTTCTTACAGCATTGCTTGGGCTTAAAATGAACATTATAATCTTCTGGAGTTTGCATGATGCTAGGTGCAGCAGGTATACATCTAGGCATAGATGCACCTAGTGCATCAACCTAAAAGGGCATAAGCAGACCAGCCACAGAAGCCACTTGAGACCCTAGTGATGAGTTGGAATCTCAAGGTAGTTCCAGACTACAAACTTCTTCCTTCACAGTGAGTCCAATCCCTCCCAGAAGGGATCCCAATCCTTTGAGAGACAGAATCCACTCACCCAAAGCACTTTGGAATTATAAGGATTCAGCCACCATCCTGTCCAACACAACCTTCAGACAGCAGTTCAACACCTTCACTGGTTCTCCTAATTCCTACGGAAAGCCGAGACAGAGATGCAGGTCATCAGTATACATATGAACACTGTGCTCCAGATTCCTTGAAGATAGCCCCTAACTGTTTCATATAAATGTTGAATCACAAAGATGAAAGAACCTGAAACCTCATGGGGAACCACAGCCCAAAAACCATGGAACTAAGCAAGATGCTCCTAGTAGAACATTCATGTAACAATTCTGCAAGTAGAAGCAAAACCGCTAAGATATACTCAAATCTAATAATGCTTAACGGCTGCTTTTTATCCCATTTTATGTTCCACTTGTGCCCATATGGATCATAGGTTTCACATTATTGGTCCTCCTATTGCTGATAGATCCCCTGATGTTAGATTAAATCCCATAAAACCTTTAAAAACAAAATTATTCCTATATATTTGGATAGGTGCCACCCCTGTCAGTATGTAATGACAAATGCCGTCCTGGTTACGGGAAGAAAAAGAAGGAGAGAAGTAAATTTTGTTGCTATGATTGTGAACCATGTCCCAGCGGGATGTACTCAAATGAAAAGGGTGAGAAATGTCATCTTAAGATAGACCAAAATGCACAATTTATTTAGCCAACTCTGAGGTCCTTAAAATTTTGTTGTGGTGTGGGGGTTAAATAATTGATTTCTGTATTGTTGTCATTGTTTACAATATAATCTTTAAAAAATCCTGAAGAAAATATTTTTTCAGAAAGGAACGTAATACATTTTGCATCCAAATTCTACTAAATTCTGATGGAATAGAGGTGATGGTCACTCCACGAAGAAGAAGACAGTTTGGGAAGAGAGTGAATGTCTCATTCAGTGGACCTCTCTTGGCTCACAAGATTTCAGCTGTAACGTTGCTCTCTTTTCACTACAGGGCATTCTAAGAAAGAGGAGGAGGGCCACTAAAAGATAGAGATATCCTCTATGTAGAAATTCCAGATTTGATGCATGAGATCTATTTTTGAAATATCTCAGACAAAAGTCTTTGAGTTAGAAGATTGAAAGCTACCCCGGTAAAGAACATTAGCTAGGTGGACTCCTGAGGACTAAAATTCTTAAGAATTGTCTGTAATTTCATTTTGTCTTTTCAGACATGGAAACATGTATCAGTTGCCCAGCAAATAAGTATCCAAACAAAGACCAGGATAATTGCATTCCTAAGATACCAAACTTTCTGGGCTTTGATGAAACTTTAGCCATCATTTCAACTTCCTCTGCACTATTGTTTTCTCTGATCACAGCTCTAGTGTTGGGCATTTTCATTAAGCACAAGGACACCGTAATTGTCAAAGCCAACAATAGAAGCCTGACTTACATTCTCCTTGTGTCCCTCCTCTTGTGTTTCCTCTGCTCCTTGATGTTCATTGGAACACCTAAGCAGGCAACCTGCCCACTCCGACAAACAAGTTTTGGCATCGTCTTCTCTGTGGCCCTGTCTAGCATCTTGGCCAAAACCATATCAGTGGTTTTGGCATTCATGGCTACTAAGCCAGGATCCACAATCAGAAAGTGGGTAGGCAAAAAACTGGCTTATTCAATTGTCCTCTCTGGCTCCACTGTTCAAGTGGGGCTCTGTGGTCTTTGGCTGGCAACCTTCCCCCCATTCCCAGATTTGGACATGAAATCAATGAGTGAAGAAATTATATTCTTATGTAATGAAGGGTCCGTCCACATGTTCTACTGTGTTTTGAGCTACATGGGCTTCCTGGCCACTGTCAGCTTCACTGTGGCTTTCCTAGCCAGGAAGTTACCTGACAGCTTCAATGAAGCCAAGTTCATCACCTTCAGCATGCTGGTCTTTTGCAGTGTTTGGGTCTCCTTCATTCCAACTTACCTGAGCACCAGAGGAAAACACATGGTGGCTGTGGAGATCTTCTCCATCTTGGCTTCTAGTGCTGGATTACTGGCTTGCATCTTTTCCCCCAAATGCTACATTATTCTTGTGAGGCCTGACCTGAACACCAGAGAACATCTAATGCAAAGAAAGATATAAATAATATAAAATTTTGTAGTTCCATGATTGTTCTTAATTTTCAACACTGAAATGTCAAAAATGTGAATGAATGAGGACATGTGACCAAATGAAAATATTTCAGCTGTTTTGTGCTCTGTTTCTGGGCTGCAAAATTGTTGCATGTTATTTTAAGAGGCCATTCAGACCAAATGAGGCAAATGTTCACATAACCTTCTGAACTTCAACTGAAGACAATGAAACTCTGAAATTGAAAGAGAAACATCAACATTATTCTATAGTTGTTCTGATTAGACAGCTAACGTAAATGAAGTTAAGTATTAGAGTTGTTTTTTACTAAGTGGTATATTAATTATTTAAGAAACTAAATAAAAAACCTATGTTATATTAGTGAGGCCTTAATTCAACAATAGAGAGCAACTGATATAGAGAAATACAGTGGTACTTCGGGTTAAGTACTTAATTTGTTCCGAAGGTCCGTTCTTAACCTGAAACTGTTCTTAACCTGAAGCACCACTTTAGCCTATGGGGCCTCCTGCTGCTGCCGCACCACCGGAGCACAATTTCTGTTCTCATCTTGAAGCAAAGTTATTAACCCGAGGTACTATTTCTGGGTTAGCGGAGTCTGTAACCTGAAGCGTATGTAACCTGAAGCGTATGTAACCCGAGGTACCACTGTATGTAAATGACAGATGTGTTTGTAGTTTCACTTATGTTCTTGGTATCAGTTTAGGAACATGAGGTCGGACAAGTGTATATTGGAATCCCCATTTGTGTCTACAAACTAACTCACCCCTAAATATTACGGCTTGGTTTCTCCCACAAACACGAGATGACTCTGGCTGTTAATTATTTCAGATTTATTGCTAAAACAACAAACTATATGGCGCTCCTCTACACATTGTCCTCCCCAGAAGATGGAGTTGCCCGGACTGAGCTCCTCCCCCTTCCCCAGCACGGAAGCCCCCATCTTCTCTTCCAGTATCTTTTGTGTGTCTCTGCCACTTTTGAAATCCTGAGATTTGGCAGAGAGTGTTTCCTGCATTCCAACGTCTTGCCAACTATTGGAGTTCTCACACATCTGACTGTCCCTTTGGTCAGAGCTCAGATTACAGCTGCTCTCCCCCTCCTCTCTGCTTTCTGCTGTTAACTGTCCTCTCCCTGTGCCTGCTTCTTCTCCTCCTGTCAGTATCTGAGCTTCGCTGACACTAAAACACACTGCCTTGTGAGCTATTTTGCTGGAGTCAAATGGACACAGCTCTGAGAATAGGCCCAAATTATCTTATGCCCAGTAAAGAGCTCTCACAAACTGGACTGTTCCCCATACAGTTGGTTTATTACAAAAGAATAAATGATATTTTAACAATAGATTGATTAGCATAGTTCAGAATATATAGAACCATGGGTGCATATCCTCACGCATTCAAACTCAAAGTAATAAGTTCCTACACTACAAGGGGAAGATAAAGGGATTGAGGATAACAGTGTGTTGTATGATTCCCAAGCAGGGCTGGCCCTCCCATGAGGAAAGGTGAGGCAACCTTCTCTGGTGGCAAGATCCACAGGGGCAGCAGATCCCAATGTTGATCTTTATTCCCCACTTGTTCCTGATGGAGACATTCACTCATTCCTTCTTCCCTGGAGAGGATGGAGATGCCATTTTGTGGCTTACCTCAGGCACCAAAGTGTTCTGGACCAGCTCTGCTCCCAAGAAGATAGTGATTGATGCAGAGTTTACCTGTACCTATCCAACCACTTACTAGAGCAATTGCTGCAGCTATGTGGGCATAAGGCTGTGCTGCACCCAGGATCCAGGATCCAGAAATTCTATGCCTGAAGCTATTGTAGTTCTGAATGATATATCTGGGCTTCACACTGACAAGCAACTTCACTAAAATCTAAACTGACTTTGATTTAACATCATCAGAGGCTATGTCATTCAATCCTCCACAAGTAGCATCTAATACAAAGAAAGATATAAACAGAAGACTTTCTGGGTTCATACATGCTCTTTGTATTCTAAGTCAAAACATCAACATATGTAAATCAATTTATGTAATAAAAAATCTTTTATTTCTGGGTTGCAAAATGGTTGTCTCTTCTTTAAAGAAGCTGTTCTGACCAAATGTGAAAAACAGTTGAAAAGCAGATCCAAATTTCAACTGAAGAAACTGAAACTTTGAGATGAAAACAGAAACTTATTATTTATTTTTATGAAGCTATATAGAGCTTGTGGTTGCCAGACCACTATAAATTCTGGACCCAGCAAGTGTCAGAATTTAATTAGGGTTTGGGATGCCAAACTATGTACTAGACATCTCTAATCCCCTGAATCAGCAGCTGATTAATATAAGCTAATTTCCCATGAAGTGATAGGCTGGGTGATGTGTCAAAGGATCAAAGGGAACCCAGTGTGAAATGGCAAAGACATCCCCTCTCCAAAATTATCCAGTTCCCCTCCCCCATTACATTCATATAATTGACCTAGGTACCCAGAAGCCATTGTTCTTGGTGAGAACTTGCTGCTCACACAAATAGAAAGTTATCATGTTGCTTCCATCAACACCTTGCTGACAAGGTACCCACGAAGGCACAAGAAGCAGTACCTACCTCCCTCCATTTTCTCGCTTCTCCATTACATGGTTGCATACAAAAAAACAACAAAAAACAAGCAAAATCATGTTCTTCCTAACCTATAATTCCATGAGGTGATAAATATATTTACTTGACAGTTCTACCAATGATGATGCGCCATGGAGTCTGTAAAAAATTGCAAGTGATTGTCTCCCCTGCAATTATTAAAATGACAATAATTAAGTCACCTTGCCAATGCTCCAGAAGGCAAAATGTCGGGTAGGGGAGAATCAGCAAACAAGTCTGAAATGTTTATAGTCTCCCAGTGTTCCATAGACAGAATAATGCAGGAGAGAGAGGCCAGGCTCTGTGATTGTACCGGTCATATATCAAATCACATCATCTTATTTACCATTCAAGGCAGGTATTTGCGACAGAGTTTAATGATATGATGTATGCATGTCCCTTTAATCACTGAACTGGCAGAGTCTGCTGCCTCCAAATCGATGCTGGTCAAATCAGGCTGCTGATGATAATAATGATATTGTAGAGAGGCCAAGAAGAGTCCATGTGTAGAACCTTGCTGCTGCTGCTTCTCTTGCTCTTCCCCAACATGGTGTGCCAAGTGCATAGTGCTCATTTTACCACAACTAATCCTGTACCTATTCCACATGAGTGGTATGAGCCAGGTGACCCTGTCATTGGTGGCATAGCATCTCATATCCGCTACGTCTTCCCCAATGTTTTATTTAATATACACCCCTCTGAAGCCTTCATTAACAACCCACTGTAAGTAAATAGTCCTTAATATGATTTTATTAATTCTTTACATTTTTATATTTGACTGAAATATACTTTGTTTTGAATGAGTAATTTTAGAATTGTATTAATAAACTGTATTAATCAATTGACTGTATTTATTTGAAAGATTTGATAGACTGTATGAGAAACATCTGCGCATACAAGCCACGTCTAAACTCTCACTTGGACATTAGGAAACATTAAGATTTTGTGATCCAATTCTGCAACTCAGTGGGTTGCTACTCTGGGTGGCTTCCAACATATATAAAAATATAATATTACATTAAACATTTAAAAACTTCCCTATACAGGGCTGCCTACAGATGACTCGGGGGTCGGATAACTCCATACCCCCCACACACAACATTTCTCCAATGAAAGTAGGGACATCCTAAGGAAAACTGGGACATTCCAGGATCCAATCATAAACCAGGATGGCTTCTCTTAATCAGGGACGTCCCTGTAAAATAGGGAATCTTGGAGAGTGTGGAGGTGCCTCTTCAGTATTTGCTGAAAGCTACGTAGTGAAGTTGCCAGATGCACTTCTTGTGGGAATTAGACTCTAGTTCCCATTTCCAGAGCGTGCGAAAGTCAGCCTTGGGTTATTTGATCCTTTAATGAGGTCTCTTTTTTTCTCCTATAAAAACTATGCAAGACATTCCCTTTTAAAGTTTAAAGAACCAATAACTTTTACTTAGTGTACTTGCAGTTGCAGATAAAAAGTGTACAACACAGGTAGGTGAGACTTAAATAGCTAAAACTTCTTACATAGATGAAACTGTGGGTTACCTACAGCCTAGGGGGTGTTATGAGGATTCATAGCAAGTGAAAGCCAGCCTGTGTTTCCTTGATGAATTGGGGGCGGGGGTCAAATACTTGTGTTCATTTTTATTGGAAAGAATCAGAGGTAAGTTAGTAATGGAGAATGGTTTCAAAGCATTTTGTAAACATGGGATCAGAGCCTTTCACAACCATCATTGCTAGCTCACAAGTAGGCATACTTGGTAGAAATATGATATGTGAAACTCTCCATTGCTGTATCTTTATTTTCTTGAAAACCTGATACTTTGCATTTAAAATGGCAGCTATCATGAGCTTTATTATCATTTAATGCAAATTTCCATTTCCAGAGAAAGCTACTACCAAAGGGATACAGCAATAATTTCAAAAACTGTAGCATAACCATATGACAAAGCACATGATTATAGATGAAACTGAATACAGAGAAGGAACAACATGGTCAGAAATGCAAAAGATGAAGTTAAATTCAAGAAAATTTCTGACCCATTCTGTATAGGTCTCTTCAGAATCTATGTGTCTGAGGAATTAAAAAAACAGATTTGGGCTAAAGAGGAATCCAGACATTCTAAAGCAGTGTTCCCCAACCTTGGGCCTCCAGCTGTTTTTGGACTACAATTCCCATCATCCTTGACCACTGGTCTTGCTAGCGAGGAATGATGGGAGTTGTAGTCCAAAAACAGCTGGAGGCCCAACACTGTTCTAAAGGAACAAAACAAGACCCATCTTTCCAATAATACTTACTTCATGACTAACTTTGCTGCCTTTCCTTATAGTCCTTATATACCACAATAGTTTGAAAGTTGTACCTCTCAAAACTAGATTATGTGCACTATTTTATTTCCCCATGAAATAATGCCACTTTATTCACAGCGTGTTATCAAAGTTCTTCCAGCACATCCTTGCCCTGGTGTTTGCGATTGATGAGATCAATGGGAATCCCAAGGTCTTGCCCAATGTCACTCTTGGGTTCCACATCTATGACAGCTACTGTAACTCTAAGATGACCTACCGCACCACTCTGGATCTGCTGTTTAACACACATAGCTTTGTCCCCAACTACAAATGTGGCTACCAGGAAAATGTAATAGGAGTCATTGGAGGACTGAGCTCTGAGGTCACATTGTGCATGGCAGACATCTTGGGTCTTTACAAAATTCCACAGGTAGGAATATTATGGGTAAGAGAAAATTGAGATTTCACACTATAATTCACTCTTCAGCTCTCTTTCCAGTAGGAGTCTATTGATTCATAAATTTGGAGTGGTATAACAGGGACAATTGAAAGGGACTAAAATGTATGGGTTTGTTGTTATAGCATGGGTGTCTCTAACAATGTGCATGAAAGGGGGTAGGTTACTAAGGATGTGTGCTTAATGCATATAAGGGAAGATTGATTCAAAGCTGCCAAGGTGGTAAATGGGGCAACCAGATGGAATCATATAAGATTCTGGGAAAATATTATCTTTTTTTTTTTTAATGATATTTATTAAAGTTTCAAAAAATACAAAAAATACAGAATACAGAAAAAAGAGTAAAGTTTTTAAAATATAACAAAAAAGTAAAGAATAAAAAAGAAACATACAAAATAAAACAGTTAAAAAGACATTGATTTTCCAAACCTATCTTCCCTACACTTATTTCCCCGGACCTCCTCATACCTCCCTTTTTTGTATTCCAGTTCAGTTTGTTAGTTCAGCAAATCCTTACCATTAAACTTTTACCCAATTGTAAACCTTTTTCATATCTCTTAAAGCATTACAGCTAAAAACCTCTTAGTTTCTATCCAACATCCTTCTAAGATTCCTTAATTTTACAATATTTCTGTAAATAGTCTTTAAATTTCTTCCAGTCTTCTTTCACCGACTCTTCTCCCTGGTCTCGGATTCTGCCAGTCATTTCCGCCAATTCCATGTAGTCAATCACCTTCATCTGCCATTCTTCCAGAGTGGGTAGATCTTGTGTCTTCCAATACTTTGCGATGAGTATTCTTGCTGCTGTTGTAGCATACATAAAAAAGGTTCTGTCCTTCTTTGGCACCAATTGGCCGACAATGCCCAGAAGAAAGGCCTCTGGTTTCTTCAGAAAGGTATATTTAAATACCTTTTTCAGTTCATTATATATCATCTCCCAGAAGGCCTTGATCTTTGGGCACGTCCACCAAAGGTGAAAGAATGTACCTTCAGTTTCTTTACATTTCCAACATTTGTTATCGGGCAAATGATAAATTTTTGCAAGCTTGACTGGGGTCATGTACCACCTGTATATCATTTTCATAATATTCTCTCTTAAGGCATTACATGCCGTAAACTCCATACCTGTGGTCCATAACTGTTCCCAGTCAGCAAACATAATATTATGTCCAACATCTTGTGCCCATTTAATCATAGCAGATTTCACCGTTTCATCCTGAGTATTCCATTTCAACAGCAAGTTATACATTCTTGACAGATTTTTAGTTTTGGGTTCTAGCAGTTCTGTTTCTAATTTTGACTTTTTCACCTGGAAGCCTATTTTCTTATCCAAATTATATGCCTCCATTATCTGATAGTAATGAAGCCAATCTCTCACTTTGTTTTTTAGTTTTTCGAAACTCTGCAATCTCAATTTATCTCCTTCTTGTTCCAAAATTTCCCAATATGTCGGCCATTTGGCCTCCATATTGAGCCTTTTCAGAGCTTTTGCTTCCATTGGTGACAGCCACCTTGGGGTTTTATTTTCCAATAAATCTTTATATCTTATCCAAACATTAAACAATGCTTTCCTGACAATATGGTTTTTAAATGTTTTGTGTGCTTTGACCTTATCATACCATAAGTATGCATGCCATCCAAATACATTGTTAAAACCTTCTAAATCCAAAATGTCTGTGTTTTCAAGAAGTAGCCATTCTTTCAGCCAGCAAAAAGCTGCTGATTCATAGTAAAGTTTAAAGTCTGGCAGGGCAAATCCACCTCTTTCCTTGGCATCAGTTAGTATCTTAAATTTTATTCTGGGCTTCTTGCCCTGCCAGACAAATCTAGAAATATCTCTCTGCCACTTCTTGAAATAGTCCATCTTATCCACAATTTGTAGTGTCTGAAACAAAAACAACATTCTAGGCAATACATTCATCTTTATCACAGCAATACGGCCCAGCAGTGAAAGTTTCAAATTTGACCAGATTTCTAAATCTTTTTTCACTTCAGTCCAACATTTTTCATAATTATCTTTAAATAAGTTCCCATTTTTGGTTGTCATATTGATCCCCAGGTATTTCACTTTCTTTACCACAGTCAATCCTGTCTCATTCTGAAACCTCTCTCTTTCAATCGGTGTTAAATTTTTCTCTAAAACCTTAGTTTTTAGCTTGTTCAATTTAAAACCTTCCACCTGACCAAATTCTTGAATTAATTCTAAAACTCTTTTAGTGCTAGATTCTGGCTCCTGTAGCGTCAATACTAAGTCATCTGCAAATGCTCTCAGTTTGTACTGTTTAGCTCCGACCTGTATACCTTTAACCAACCGGTCCTTTCTAATCATGTTTAGCAGAACCTCCAGGACCGATATAAAAGCAATGGGGAAATTGGGCACCCCTGTCGTGTCCCTTTTTCTATCGTAAATTCTTCCGTGACCACATTATTTACAATTAATTTGGCCTTTTGTTCAGAATATATTGCACCTATACCGTTTTCAAAACCTTGGCCTACCCCCATCCCCTGTAGGTTCTTCTTCATAAAACTCCAAAAGATATTATCAAAAGCTTTCTCCGCGTCCACAAATATCAAAACTGCTTTAGTATTTATGTTCACTTCTAGTTTTTCCAAAATATCAATTATATTCCTCAAATTATCGGACAAGTGTCTTCCCGGGAGAAAGCCCGCTTGGTCTTTATGAATCTCTTCCATCAATACTTTTTTCAATCTCTTGGCCAAAATGTCTGCAAAAATTTTGTAATCCACATTAAGTAACGATATAGGGCGGTAGTTCTTAAGCTGGGTCTTTTCAGTCTCTGTCTTCAGTATAAGTGTAATATACGCCTCTTTCCACGACTCTGGCGCCCTGGGAAAATATTATCAGTGGATCATATAAGATCAGGACATGTTAACTAGAAATGCTCTCCATATGAAATGGGAAATTGAGCAAGATCAGTAAATTTGCGACATGTGTGATAAATATGTTTGTTATGAATTCTTCCATCCATTTGGAATGGTTCTCTTTTTTATTCTTCAGATTTCATATGGTTCATTTGAAGCATCCATGAATGATCACATTAAGTTCCCTTCCTTTTACCACATGGCTCCTAATGAAGCTCTTCAGTATCAGGGAATTATCCAGTTGCTTCTGCATTTTGGATGGAAATGGGTTGGGCTCATCACTCCAGCTAATGAAGCTGGAGAACATTTCTTGAATGCTATTGAGCCAATGTTTTTCAAAAATGGGATCTGTTCAGCATTCACAGAAAGAGTTGAACACCATGTGCGTTTCAAAGATAACATACTTCATATGGTGGATGATACAAAGATTTTGTCCCCAACTTTCATCAGAAGCAAAGCAAATGCAGTTGTTGTATATGGAGAAAGTGCATCTATTATATGGTTGTCAACTGCTCTAACTATAATGAAGTTAACTGAGTTCATACTTTCCCAGTCCAAAAAGAACTTACCTGAAGGAAAAGTATGGATTACCACAGCTCAAATTGATTTCATAGTATACGTTCTTCAGAAACTGATTGATGTTAATATACAAATGTTCCATGGCGCTATCTCCTTTGCAATTCATTCCAAGGAAATTCATGACTTCCGATACTTTCTGCAGAATGTAAATCCTTCCTGGGAAGAGGGAAATGGCTTTATCACAGGTTTCTGGGAACAAGCATTTGATTGTTCATTTGCAGACTCTACTAAGTCAACATACAAAGCTAAGCCTTGTACTGGAGAGGAAATGCTGGAGAGCCTTCCTGCGCCATTTTTTGAAATGAGCATGACCAGCCACAGCTACAGTATCTATAATGCTGTCTATGCTCTGGCACATGCCTTACATAGGCACTTGGCTGGATCCAACCACAGACGAATGGAGGCTGCAGGGAGACGATCTCCTCAGAATATAGAGCCTTGGAAGGTAGTGTTTGCTGTAAAAAAAAAAAAGTTTGGTTTACAAAGTGTTCTCTATTGTGTCCTGGAAGTAGTGTTTTCCAATATTTCAAATGACATTTAATTAGACAATTTTTATAGCTTTGGGGTGCATAGTAACCATGGGGTGGGTAGTAACAGAAATCCAAACCAAGTTTGGTTAGATGCGGCATAATTGTTTAAATATATTTGCTAGGAAGGTGTGCCTGTCTTCTTTTTCCTTTTCCTACCTTTTGATTGTATGCACTGGTCTAGCATAGTATAGGGATGCCATAAGCTAAAAAGAGAAAGCAAATTAAAATCAAACACATTCTCCACTTGGCCACCTTGTGATGTTAAGTAAGGATAAGAAATAATATAGGCAATTCCCTTCCCTCTTTGAGTTTCTTAAGAACTTTCTGACTCACCCATACAAACTTTGAAAAGCCTTCTCTGTGCTGCCAACACCAGCAAAAGCATGAGAAAAATCAACTCTTAATTTGCAGAGGAGAAGGAAGCCATTGGTGAAATGAGGCAGTAGAGTCGTTTGGCATTGCACTAGATATAACTAATTATTCAAACTGTCAATATTGAAAAAGTATCTCTAAGGTCCCAATATACCTTTTTTTTAAAAGTAATATAGGGTAGGAGGCGGATCCTAGAATAACAAAGTGCAGCTTCTCAATAAATTGGTTTGTTGTTGTTTAGTCGTTTAGTCGTGTCCGATTCTCCGTGACCCCATGGACTCCAGGCACTCCTGTCTTCCACTGCCTCCTGCAGTTTGGTCAGACTCATGCTGGTAGCTTTGAGAACACTGTCCAACCATCTCGTCCTCTATTGTCCCCTTCTCCTTGTGCCCTCCATCTTTCCCAACATCAGGGTCTTTTCCATGGAGTCTTCTCTTCTCATGAGGTGGCCAAAGTATTGGAGCCTCAGCTTCAGGATCTGTCCTTCCAGTGAGCACTCAGGGCTGATTTCCTTAAGAATGGATAGGCTTGATCTTCTTGCAGTCCATGGGACTCTCAAGAGTCTCAAGAATAGTGGGCTTAATTATTGTCATCCAGAGAGATTGTTCAAAACCTCTGAAAAATTGCTTCTAAAATGTCTTGTAATACAGATCATTAAAGAGGTGTTTTTAATGCTCAATTTAAAATTTTATCACCAATGTTAACACTTCCAATGTTAATGGAGGAGTCTTCTGAACAAAGTTCTTTTATCCACTTTTTGATATGCACAAGCGATAAGTTAGAATACCAATGGTGTGCCTAAAATGAGACAGCAGTCATTTGATTTAGCAGGAATAATAATAAAAATAATAATTTATTATTTGTACCCCGCCCATCTGGCTGGGTTTCCCCAGCCACTCTGGGTGGCTT